TCCAGGGGATCCCCCCCCTCAATTGAAGGAGGGAGCGGGTCACCCTGAAGAGGGCGGCCGGGCGACTATCTGATGACGCGATGAGTGAGGAATAGTAGTTAGTCCTAGCCACTCTCATCGCCACTAGGTAGGATCTAACATGTGTCCTTACCTGTGTTCGAGCGGATTCGGTTCGGCTGGCCCTCCAACGGCTCTCTAGTGAACATACAGTAGAAGCAATCATTCAATCTTGGTTTCACATTATAAGAGCTGCAGAACTAAGCGACTTGGTTCACTCCATGGGAAGACATTGTAAGGCCGTAAATCATGCTAAAGGTTACCCAACTAAGTATTAACTGACATGGTGATAATTTTTGTATATCTTGTTTTTTCTATGGTGATAATTTTTGTATATCTCGTTTTTTCTACGTGTTTCACTTTTCTTCTTTATAACTGTTATTCTAATAGCAAATCGTTCATAAAAGTTATTGCATTACATTCTTGATTAAATTATCTTTCCATTGATATATAATTTTATGGTACTACTCCCAAAAGACGTGGTGTTATTAGCCATCAAACCTCAAATGTACACTTTTCCCAAAAGGTTTCCACAATTTTGGCCACTACTGTAGGACTGACCCCCCACTCCAAGTTCCATGGGATCTTATTGGTTTGTTCCCAAGTAGTCTGGGAAGATTCTTGTATTATAGGTAGAATACAATAAAGTATTCAATATGTCTACATACACCAAAATGCCCAGAGAGATGCATCTGAAACAAAACTGATGCCTTTCTCCCACTGCAAAGCATTGTAACCCTATTACTTCTTTGATTTCTACTGTACTGTATCTAACCAAGCACACAGAATGTTATTTCTCCTAGAGATCTAAAGAACAGGGAGGCATACTGTATATGGAAAAAGATACTCCTTAAATATGCTGGCCCATCAAAATACAATGATACTTGAAATCCTGCCAAAAACGTGTATGAGCAATCAACACATTTGGTACAGAAAGGATATTATCCCCTATGGCCTGGTTTTATCATAAAATGAACTGCAGCTCCCAATCATATCCATACATGGCTGGACATAGAGCACATTCAGACACATGGATAGTGCTGGCTTCAAGATACTCTTTTATAATACTTGTTTTTCTCTTGTGCCACACTGTTTTCTGCAAAATTATGGTTCATGTCATTACATATCATTATATAATGTTTATTACTCACTTATTGAAAAGATGATTGTCCACTTTAATCTTTCTGTAGGCTTTAAAGTCATCTGGCATTAACATAACAGGGACAGGGACATTACTCAACTCATTAATCTGCAAAAGAAACACAACATCTAAACAGGAAGTGAGGGAAAAGAGAAAGCAAATCACCTGCACTGCTGGTATGTACAATCACAGAGCCACGATACTCCACTAACTTGTACTGGCAGTTTCAGCATTAAATGTATAACCTGAAGTTTCACGGTCAAGAAAGCAGTTATGTTCTACAAAGGGGTGATAGTTTAGTCTGTATTTGTTGAGAGAAGGAAATCATAGGGATCTGAGTGCTCTAGGCTATATCATCCACTAGAAGACCTCCAAGGTCCCTTCCAACTTTGTCATTCTGTTATTTATCTGGGTAGTTGTTGTCTCCAGGCAATGAGTCTGTATAATTCATATACTGTAACAATGTAATGCTTCTCTTTTTCTTTCTCAATTATTAGACAGATAATTATGTACATCTATATAAATAATTTCAGGCCTGTCCTAATCACTCAAACTTTTAGTTAATCATCTGATTGCATTTTAATACAACTATATCTTTGAAAGTGTGGTAGGCACCTGCTAAAATGTTCTTACTTTTCTTATTTTTAAAAGAAAATGTTCTTATTTTTGTTAGTCTGTATCTAACAAAACATTTTATATGGTCTCAGAAATTCTCTGAGGACTTTACAAAATACAACTCTTGACAAAAGGCTTGCTGTGGGAAAAACAGTTATTGTTGCTTTTTAGAATCTCATACATATCACTATATCTTTCAAATTTTAGATTCTGCGGTTGTGGGAAGGAAACATATTTTTCTGGATTAAAAATGAAAGCATGCTTCATACCGTGTTCTCCCGAAAATAAGACCTATCCCGAAAATAAACCCTAGCTTGATCTTTACGTGTGTGCCTAATATAAGCCCTATCCCAAAAATAAGCCCTAGTTAAGACCCCACCCACTCCATCCCACTGTCTGGTTGTACGAGGTGGGGCTAAGCACAAAAATCAAGCTAGGGCAGGGGGTGGAGCTGCCCCACGCGCCCCACACCTGCTTACCTCAGGGCCCCTGCAGCCAGGCCTCCCATGCCCTGACACCTGCCTTGCCTCGCAGCGGCGGCACCAGCAACAGCAGCCCTGTCCAGTGGGAGCCTGCATGGCCACTGGCCCACTTCTGTTTGATGGTGACTGCTCGCGGCAGGACGCCATGTGGCGTGTTGCACTGGTGCCGTGGCGTGTATGAGCGGTGGTACCGGCACAGCACGGCACGCCACATGGTGTCCCGCTGCAAGCGGTGGCACCGGTGCAACATGCCACATGGCATCCTGCCACGTGCGGCGAGTGGCCGCAGAAGTTGGGCGGCGGCGCGACAGGTGTTGGGGCGTGGGAGGCCTGGCTACAATGGTCCTGAAATAAGCGGGTAAGACATCCCCCCAAAATAAGACCTAGTGCCTCTTTTGGAGGCAAATATATATATATAAGACAGGGTCTTATTTTCGGGGAAACAGTAACATAGAAACTAAGTGCAAAGCATATCAAAACATTCCAACTTTAACTACAAAGTATACAATGCCATTAGGTGCTTCAACATGTGGATGATGTTATATTAGGTTGTCATTTATAGTAACCTGCCATGTACAGAGCAGAAGCAGCAATTTATTTCACTTTATACTCTGTTCCCACCCATACACTTCAGTTCTACTCACTATGGGGTCCCCAAGAAAAAGTCTAAAGGAAAGCAGCCCTCAACATGAAAAGATTGGCATTCCTGTTCTAATATATTACATAGAACTGTCCATTCTAAAACTTCAACTACTTCAGAGTTCAGCAGTGTGACCAATTTTTAAATTATTAATTGGAGATTCTTCTTTGGATAATCCAGAGAAATCTGTGCTTAACTAATTTTACCATAACTGCTGAAAATATAAAGAAAAAAATTGCAATAGTTTCTAATATTTTGTTTCTGAAGTTATTAGATCTGCAAAGCACAACTGAGCCTGAGTATTTTCTTCTCAACTTCATGTGCTACCATGTACATTTGTGTCAATAAGCACTTTTTCACTGGTCACTTTCCATACAGAAGAGACCAGGATGTTATGAGCTCCTGGCTACTTTCCTTCGTGACCAGAGGCAAGCTCGCCTGACCAATAACCAGCCAAGACACAGTGAAGGCCTTTTGTTTAGTTTATTGCAATAAGCAGGGAGAGAAGCTATCAAAGCTTGGTTCTCTCCAAAGTTCCAACCCAAAATATTCCCTTCTTTATACAACCCTGTCCCAACCACCACATCCCTCCTCGTTCCCCACCTCCTACATATTTCCTGCTACATACTAAATCACACATCACATGTACATTAAAATTAGGAGATAATTTATGCAAGGTGTGTCAAATAATATCAGTTAATTACACATGCTCAGTTGTCTGTTTTGAATTCTGGGCCCCCTTTGTTTATGACTTCTTAGAAAAATAGGTTCTTTCCTGTTTTTCAGTTTAATCTTCCCTGGCTAGCCATTTCCTCTTGCAACAGTTTTTACAGCTTGTGTTCTTCCTTTCCCAATTCTGCAGACCCAGATAATATTTGCCTACGTGTTTATCTTTCATGTTCCCTTTATGCTACCCTTTCCTGGTTCCCATCCATTGTAGTTTCTTTGGCAGGCTTGATTCTCCACTCAGTAAGTTTCCACTGCAGCAAATTCAATTTTAAATTTTTCTTTCAATATTAAATTTTGAAAACCTTTCCTTTACTTCTATCAAGCAGGATTGGTGAGAGAGTTCCAGAGACAGGACAGTTTGGTCTAGTGGTTAAGATGCTAGTGTAGGAACCAGGAAACCATGAATTCTAGTTCCACCTTAGGCATAAAACCCAGCTGGGTGACTTTGGGCCAGTTCCTCTCTCTCAGCTCAACCCACCTCAGAGGGTGGTGGTTGTAGGGAAAATAGGAGGCGGAAGGAGTATTAGGTATGTTCACCACCTTGAGTTACTTATAAAGTAATACAGATGGAATAAAACTCAAATAAATAAGGCAACAGGCCTGCTAGTTAAGCCTTAGCACTCTGGGATAGTGATTGATTCCTCCATTAAAATACAGGGTTTGTCAACTTGTGATAAGACAAGGAAATCAGGGTCAGAGACACGCATCTATTCTTCAGAGTTCTCAGGACAGTATTATTCTAATCTGACAAAGGGCATTCAGTATAAGCCAGGTTTTTTTTCAACCTTGGCCACTTTAAGATGGCCACTTTAAGACTTCAACTCCCAGAATCCCCCAGCCACTGATACTTTCAAATGGACTCAGGGGGACTCTGGAAAACCAAGACTTTTGCATGGCAGAGAGCTGAAAATTCTCAAAAAACCCCTCCCAAACAAAAAATGAGCAGCAAAGTGATAAACCTGAGCAGGATTCCAGGAACTTAAGTTCCCCTGTTCCTGCTTTATCAAAGAAGGGAAATGATTGAGCCCTTTCCATTTGTCAGCATTAGAGGTGCTGAGACACACACAGCTGCTTCTGTTTGTGCCTGTTTTTAAGCGTTCCTCAGAATCCAATCTGGAGCATTTTTTTCCAAGTAAAATGCACCTGGGTGCTCCAAAAAAGAAACAGGTTTGTAGGAAGAGCTCAAAATGGAGGAGGGAAGTCAACCAAAGGCCCAACATGGTTTGGGGCCAGGCTATTTGAAAGACAGCTGCCTGTTACATACACCCAGCCCACCAGAATGGGAAGTCAGGGTACTGTATCTTATGGGTCCCATCGTTTAGGGTTGTATATCTGGTGGGACCATGAATGGAACATCTTTTCCCCCCAAGGTACAGTTGGCTCCCACCCTGTTGATTTTCTGGAAGGCCCTAAAAACATGGTTTTGTCAGCAGGCGACTTTGAATGAAGATGCAGCTGATCAAGTGGTTGGTTTGATTGTGTTGCTCCTGCCATGGGGGTGAAGAGGGGTTATAGGTTATTATGTGGTGGGTTTTTAAATGTTGCCACCCCCCAGTCACCTATGTGTGAGTTGGGCGGCCATATAAATTTGCTAAATATTCAGTGGGTTGACACAGGGCACCTGGTTTGAGAAAGAGCTGTCCTTTCTCAATGGCACTTCTCAATAGAAGTTTATTTGTTGGCTTCCGATTTTGACGTCGCGGCGAAGCAGATGCAGGAAGACAGGGCTCTGTCTTTCGCGTTCAATTTTGCCCTGCTGGGGGACCCTGAAAAGGGTCGAAAGTCACCCCGTAGAGGCAACAAGCAAGGAGGGGACCATCCAAACTGGTGGGGGAAAGACTGGCTAAATTTGCAAAGCCAGCCCAAAGCTGCTGACAACAGAAGACAACAAGCACTAACAAGCAATCTTACAGCAACGTGGATGAAACTGGGTGAGACCTGATCCTCTCTTTATGATTTTAAGACCTCTTCCTGAAAATCTGCCCATAGCACTCCCCACAATGAGAGAGGGAAAGGGAATTTCCACCCCATTCCCTCAGGAAAAGTGAATTAATTACTTGGGGAAAATGGCGAAACCTACAAGACTAATTTGGAGTGTATATATATATATATATATAT